AACGACTTTTATTCTCTCTCTCTCTCTCTCTCTCTCTCTCTCTCTCTCTCTCTCTATCTCTCTATCTCTCCTTCCTCTTTTTTCCCGATACTCCAAGTAAGCGATCAAGGGAACGTAGACCAAGGGACGCGCCGGATCCCGAGAACTGGTCCCAACCGGTTCGACATCTCGTCGATTTTCTCCAGTGGGGCAGTTGAATGCCGAGCCTCTTACACTCGTGGACGTAAGCGGTGAACGATTCGCAGTAGCAGTTTTCGGTCGGGCATTCGCACATGTCCTGTAGACAAGCCTTGTAGTACATGGTCGGATTCACCTTCTTGTGACAAGCGTCGAAAATCTGCGACCTCAACCTGTTGCACAACCTGCAACCCGAGTATATACTTAAAACGAATTCTAAAAGAGAGAGAGAGAGAGATAGGGAGAGAAGTGATATCCTACCTGTGATCCTTCCTTCCCCTGCAACGTCTGGCGCGATCTACGTTCGCCACCGACTTTGGCCTGACGCAACTTTTCTTGGCCCCGACCAGCCACGATTGACCGAACGGTTGCGGATCTTGCAACAATTTGCCCCTTCGATTGGTGAAGTCGTCCTTTGGCAGGGAATTGAAGTTGCCGCAGAGGCCGCACAGGCGTCCACGATACGAAGTCGGGGCGGACACCTCGAGAAAGCTGATCCCATCCCAAAGAACTTTGATTCCGATATGCGTGCTCACGATTATACCGTCCACCGTTCGATTCACGTCCAGCTTGTTAACCACGCGATACGGTATCTCCACCTTCTTCCCGTTCACCTTCACTCGCATCTTTTGTCCTAGATTCACCTTCGAGTCACCCACCTACGAGACACAGAATGCAATGCACAATACGATACGAGACTATACATATATATATATATATATAATTGGTCGTAGCGAGTAACCTTGATGGCGATCGTCTTTGTCCAAGCGGAGAATCTGGTCGATCTTGCATCGTTGGTAACCCGAATGCTGAACGTGTGCCCCGTGCAATCGCTTGCCAATTGATACTTGCAAGCTCCCTTGAACTGTAAAATTTACCGTCAAACGTGCGGTAATGGGGATCACCGAAAACGGTGCACACGCCGTCACCTGTGAGAGCGTTAATAATAATAATTACCAACATACGTAACGTACATATACTATATATATTTATATATAATATGTATATAACGATACATTCTTTTCTAGTACTCACTTTCCACGCAGCGGGGGCAGCACTGACCCTCCGGATGTTCCAGCCTCGAGTTCGGAGGGCAAGGTAAATTCAACGGCGGGCACATGGGCATCGCGCACCGTACTTTACCTTGCATGCAAGCGCATGCCTTGCACGAGTCAAGCTTCCAACTTTCGCCATCCTGCCTAGGACAAAAAGGGAATCTTTAAACGTTGGAACGTTGGATCCGGGCAGGAGGGGAGGGGGGGAGGGAGAGGATGAAGGGAGGGGGGATAAGGTACACGCCGAATACTCGCCCCGTAAGTTTTGCCTGCGTAAGTGCAAGATGGCCGAACCTCCTCGACCTCGGGACACTGGGGGCAACAACGGCCCGGTAGGGCGATCTGGTGCTCGGCCGGGCAATCGTGGACCGGGCAAGTCTCCCGTACGCAGGACACGGTCGAGTTGGTGCAGGTGCAACGGGTGCATTGGTCCAGATAGAATTGATTGCCGGAATTGTAGACGCTGGTCCCAAGGGTGCACGCGCCTTTCGGCGGCGACAAGTATCTCCCGCTACCTGTCCACGCGTTCCATTCTGTGCGATTCAGTTCTGCGGGGGAGGTGGAGTTTGTTTATTGTCGAATATTCACGTACCTCTGCAACGTGGACAACACTCGCCGGGATCGTGGACTATCCTCGAGCCGAGGCAATGGAGGACGGGGCAAGCTTGCTTGGCACAGGTCAGCCGGGCACCGTTGCATCTGCAAGTAACGCATGGATCCTCGGTCGTCGTCACCGATCGATCCGCCGTCACCATTTGCCCGTTCACGTGGCATCCTACGAAAACACTGTATCCTTTGCATACGTTCCTTTCTATGTACATTATATCACGTATATATTGCATGATGCGTGTGTGTTCGTGTGTGTATGTGTGCGTGCGTGCGCGCGCGCGCGCGTGTGTGTGTGTGTGTGTATGTGTGCGTGCGTGTGTTCGTGTGGTGTGTGTGCGCGTGCGTGCGTGTGTTCGTGTGTGTGTG